AAATTTGTCTCTGTCATTGAAAAGTTTTAGTATTAATCTTTTTCTAATAAAGTTATTGACTCTGAACTAGTCCCTTGTTTTAAATATGAGATACGCTGTTACTAGAGATGTTGGTGTACAGTTTTATCTGATTTGTTCTGTTTAAGACTAATTTTTATAGAATTTCCACAGTTTAAATGTTTTAAATAATGGTGCTTCAATTTGGGGTAGTTATGAATACATTTGAATTATGCTTTTAATAACGAAGATATACAATGAACTAGAATATATTTTTACATCCCTGAGAGATTTCTTTAGTAGTAGAAAATTCAAAATGTCCTTCTGACAAACACTATCATCCTCCAGCTATGAAATAACAATGTAGAAGAGCAGTTCAAGAGCTTTTAACTGGTTTTTGGTCTTAAAATCCTGTATCAAGATTTTTTTAACCTGGTCTTGTTGGATTATAAATGTATTTATTTCTATGTGTGGGGTGTATGGTACATATAACAAGGGTTTTTTTTTTATTAAAAAACTGATGCTTAAGGTAATGGGGATGTGGGGGGATCGTGTACAGCAAATTTGGCAGCACGTTTCTACCTACAGCCAGCTCGTGACTGTGTAAAAATAGTAACTCCAGCCACATATACCATGGCAGTTCTCTGTGCGTTATAATTTTCAGATATTGTCGTCAGTTTGTAGGTGGGGAAACTTGAGTTAGTGCATTACATGACTCACCCAGTGACTTACGGCTCCATGTTGGTGGAGAAACTAGCACATGGAATCTAGGTCTCTGCCTTGTGGTCCGCTACCTTACTGTTTATGCCACTGTATTCATTCTAATAGGCATAATAATAGGCTACAGAATTTACTAAAATACCCTCCACCAAGCTTTGGGAAATAATGAAGCTGCCACTTCAGAGGCTTTGTATGAGAATGCTATGGGGACGGAGCATTCCTGGCTTACCTAGCTAATCCTGGAGATGCAGCAGTAGATGGATGGATTATCTCTGAATTTGTCAGAGATGATTCACGTGAGGATTAATGTACGATGGGAACCAGTCTAATACAAAGTCGACCACCTCCCAAGCACTGCCTTGTGTAGTTTAACAAGATTTTGGTTGTAGGAATAAAGGTCATAAAGTGATAGTTTATTCTATTCTATTCCTATTCTATTGCTAAGTGTTAAAAACAGAAGAAATTTACCTAAGTATTAAGGTATGAAATCATGAGGGTGTTAAAGTGCCAGGTTTGCTCTGCTCTGCCTCATGTAGAGTCAGTAGCTGACTTACTTTAATGAAGTGCGCTAAACAAGTTCATGAGGTCTTCATCGTCTTCATCTGTATGGATCACTGTTGAAGCTAATGTAGGATTTGAGGGGGAGGCCTGGTCCCTTGAGGTGTCCATGACTAAGGTCTGGCCTTAGTTGTGGAGATCTAGAAATTGGGTCACACCCAACACCCAAAATTATCAGGCTCAAGAGGAAATTATTCTTACTAACCAAATTCACAGAATCCAGTATAGAGGCCATGTGCTAATTTACACTAAGAAATAACACATTTCTGTCATGTAGACCAAAAAGCTGTCAGTTGGCTTAATGCATCTCTTTGAAAAGCCTTTAAGGGGAGCCAATTTTTATTAACCAGAAGATTACTTGATAAGATTGGAATCAGCAGTCAGGGTTTTTTAATTTTGGAAAATTTAAGACACAAAAGTAGGAAAGTATAGTTAACTTTTATGAAAGTCCATCACTCAGTGGCCATTCTTACTCTTTGTGTGTGTCCCCTGTCATTTTCAAGTAAGTCTCAGACATATTTAATTTGTAAATATTTATGCATGTATCACTAAAAGATAAAGAACAGTTTATTAATTAAAATAAATTGGATGAACTTTTAGTTGGTCAACTGTAGTACTGGTCTGGTAGCTTACTTTCCATTGTGCCTCTCAAGGGGACGTGGTAATTGAGTCTGCTGTTCTGGCATCCGCCCTTCTGCAGGGTAGAGACACTGCATCATCGCCCTTTTTGTTAAGACATGTTTTCTTCAAACAGATAATACAGTAATTTTTCAATTTAAACTAAAACCTTTCTTGACTTCTTGAGCTAATCATATTGTCAGCCTAGAGACGCTTACCTTCTTTCCTTACAGCATTACTCACCTGCAGGTGATCTGTCTGGTTTCCTCAATATAGTTAGTGTCACAGAGGATAACCAGCCCTATTTCTAAGGTCTGAGAACACTTTGACCGTATGTAGGTTGAGTGCAGCTACCTGATTAAAAGTTTCTAGAGATGTTAAAACTGAAAAATTTAGGGTGAAAGTTTTTTGAGCTTGTGTACATTCTTTGCTTTTAAAAATGCATTGTAGATGAGCTGTGCAAATGTTTTTAAACATTCTAAATGTGCATGAAACAAAAAAAAAATACTTGAGAATTGTGTATATTTTCTGTGGGATGGGACTTCAGGGTTGGTTTTCAGTTTGAGTTTGGACTGATTTTTAGTTTATGAAAGAACCCCAGGTGACTGCTTTTTAAGAATTTTGTGTGACAATTGTAATGCTTGTATATGGTACAGAAAAACAACAGAAGTGTTTAGTGATCTGTCTCTCTTCTACTCCTGTCCCTCTCTTCCTCCTCTACAGGAGCTACTAGTGTTAAGAATTGTTTTTCCAAGTGGTTTTTGTGGGGAAGTGGGGGTGAGGGATGTAAGCATTTACGTATGAATCTTTTAGGGTATATGATAGTATAGCGTACGTTCTGAATCTTGCTGTTCTCACTCAGTATATTTAGAGACATTTGAGACATAGGAGATAGGAATTTCAAGTTTAAACAAGCAGTTTTCAAAAGTACATTTCAAGTAAAAGAGAAGTAAATGTATTTTTCATTGTTGTATTAGATTTTTAAATTTTCTACTTTAAAAATGCAGTTTGAGAGTTTCATAGTTGATCTGTTTCTTCCCCTCAGCCATCTCAAATAGATCAGTTGTCAACAGCTTTAAAAACGTTTAGGAACGACAGCTTTCGAAAAGTTTGGCATAACTGTGCCATAACTTCTTGTGGCTATTCCACCCCTAGATACATACCCTAGAGAAACTCCTATGCCTGTGTGCCAGGGGATGGATGTAAAAATGTCATAACCGCATCGTTTGCAATAGAAAGAAAAGGAAACGAAAACAAACTGGAAAGACTTCAGACGTCCAACAGTCCACTGGATAAATATTGTGGTGTATTCCTATAGAGGAATTACACAGAAGTCAGACTGAACTACAGCTGCACATGTGAACAAGGAGGAGTCCCAATGGTGAAAAAAGCAAGTTGCAGAAGAATACATCCACGGTGCTTCCGTTTCTGTGAAGGTCAAAACCAGGCCGTTAAATATATGGTAAATGGAAAGCAAGGAAATGATTAACACAATTCAGTACATTGGAGGGATGGAGGGAGATCATGAAGGGCAAGGAAGAGCCTTCAGAGGAACTGGTGGTGATTGCTGAAGCTGGGTGGGTGGTTTCTTTTTTAAACTGTATGTGTATGTGGTTTTGTATGTATGATATTTCTTAATAAAATTTAAATTAAAAAATGGGAAAAGGTCTTGGTGAAGGTAGTAAGTAGTAAAACATACGTAAACAATGTGTTTCATGAAATTAATCTTCAGTGAGTAGCAGATGTAAAGGGTACTGCTTCTCAAGTGCCAGATTTAGGGTCTTAATTGTAGTCTTCGAAAGCTAGAAACAGGGCCTAAATGTATGTTTTCTTTGTGGTACGTTATTTTTATCTTGATGTTATTTTCATTTGGATGCCCGCCAGGGAGCTGATGCTGCTTCTGCTGTGTAAGCAGCTTCCAAGAAAGCTTTTCTGTCAGATTTATGCCAGTCCAGGAAGCGGAGCTGCTGAGGTGAGAAGAGCCATTTTCCTGACCTGTCAGCACGTCCCTCCCTTTGTTCAAGTTACAGTGTCACCTCAGAGGGGCCGCTCTTTGTCCTTGTTCTGCTCTTAATACGAATACCATGAAGTGTTTAAATAATGTTTGCTCTTTAAGGGGAAAGTGGTTGAAACTTTACCCTAATCTGAACATTTTCCACTTTTTTGGCATTGGTTGCGATAAGTGTTGATGTAATGCCTCAGTGTCCCTTCGCCCTTCATCAAAGGTGACCTATTAAGAATTTGGAGGTGAGAGAACAGTGGCCTGTTTCATGTGCTGGAGGAGACAAGACATTGTGCTTGCCCAGAAGGTCTCTGGTAATTAAAGATTAGCCTTAAGGTCTCAGTTCCATGAGGATTAGAGATCGTTTCACACGGCTGTGTAAAGAAGTGACAGTGTGATGTGTCTTGTTGGAAGTTGGTAAATGGAGCCAGGCATGAGTGCTTCCAAGGTAACAAGCACTAGAAGTTAGCAAGTTGACCCAGAAGGATTCCGGGTGGTGTGGTAGGGAAGAACCTAGCACGGGGTGTGATCATAACCCATCTTGGAGCTAGTTAGTGAGGGTGCCAACTTGGTTTTATTTTTTCACCTGTTTAATAGAGTTCACTGCTGTGTGCTGTGCCTTGGCTTTTCTGCAAGTTGTATGTTAAAAGTACCCTCAAAGATGACTTGTGTTAAGTCATACGTAAGTTACAAAGTGTGTAAAAAGGAAATGATGGTAAGAGATGGTTTTAGAAACTGGGATATTTGAACCAGTGTGGCAAGTGGGGTCCTGGCTTTCCCAGCTCATCAGCTCACCCTGCCCTTAATGGAGTTCATGTGAACAGACCCTGGCCGTCTGTCCTGACTGAATCTCAGGAGTGCATACCTGTGCCTGATGAGGATTGGGGTACAACTTTACAAACTAGCGTTGATAAGTATCATACTTAAAAGTTTTTTTTTGTACTTCTGTTTGTCAAAGCATTTTGAACGTACTCTTCTCCCAGCCCAGAGAAGTTGCAAACAAGGAAATGTAATAAGTACACACGTGAAGTTAGCAAACTGGTACATACATCCAGGCTTCATTATTTACAAAATACTAATTCTAGTTTTTTGTTTCTGGGATTTCTTAATATGTCATTTTTGCAGCATTGCTGTTGTAGCAGGGCTTCTCTAACAGAGATGGTATGTGCTCTACCAGTTTAGAGCTTCCATTTTTCATTAAAATTAGTTCAACTTCTTGAAAGTCCCGTAGTCTTAGAATGTCTGTGTCCTTAATATGGAAAATAAATTATATAATGGTTCATAAATACATGTGAAGTTAGGATACAAAGGCTTAGTAATATTGGCCAAGCATTGTTTTCTCTCTGTCTATTCATGGTAAACTAAGTCAGCAGTTTAGAATTGTTTTTTCTGTGTGCGTGTGTCTTTTTTTTCTTCCCCCAGTCCATGTTGCAGGTTTCCAAAGGGAATAAAGTCCCAATTTGAAGAAAAACTTCAGGCCCAAGAGAAAACTTTAGGCCAGGGCATTAAAAAAAAAAAAACAACTATAAAGTATGATCATCCCACTACTTTTAGTTTACAAAGAATATACTGTTAGCCAAGGCACCAATAAGAATTGCTTAAAGGCTTTTTTTTTTTTTTTTTTTTTTTGCGGTACGTGGGTCTCTCTCACTGTTTTGTCCTCTCCCATTGCTGTGCACAGGCTCCGGACGCGCAGGCTCAGCCGCCATGGCTCACGGGCCCAGCCGCTCCGCGGCATGTGGAATCTTCCCGGACCGGGTCACGAACCCGTGTCCCCTGCATCGGCAGGCGGACTCTCAACCACTGTGCCACCAGGGAAGCCCCGCTAAAGGCATTTGAAAGTTGCTTTTTTAAAAAAAATAATGCCCAAAGAAATGAGAATTTTCTTCTGACGTTAAAAAGTGAGATTTGTATTTTGAATCAGGAAAATATATTAAAATGCCCCAAATTTTGTTTCCTGAGATTGTAAAGGCTGACTGTTGCTAAGTAGATAAGAATGGGTTTGTATTTTCTGTACTGGGGACCAGTCAGTTTTGTAGAGATTGGAGGCTGGCCATGTTGAACTAGGGTCTTAAATATGGGTGTTAGTTGTAATTCAGACAGTTTTAAAAGGGTTGATGAATTACGTATGCACATCTGTAGAAGCACCAGGTTGAAAATAACCTAGCTACCGCGTTTGGCTGTCCTGCAGCCAGAATTTCCAGTGTCTTGGATTTTGTTTTCATATTAGTAATGCAGGAGCTAGTGGTTGGCTTCACAGAACATAATTTTACCCACCTAGAGCCCAGTCTCTATTTAGAAACTTGTAAACCCTACCTTTCTGAGTAGTGTGTTTGGTAGCTTTCTGATTTTTTCCACTTGCTCTGGGTTAATCCTCAATTCACAGCAGCTCACTTTTTAGTAGGTTTTGGTAACTCAGCTCTTGTCTATCCAGTTCAACTTCAGTGAAGTCATTCATTTTCTTTGTGGCTCTGAATTCTGACTTTCAGCACCAGCTCTGGATCACCCACAAATTTATTCGTAAAAGAAACAAAACACTCATTTAAAAGCCTTTCAACATCAATTATTACAGCAAAAGAACTGAATAATAAGTAGATCTGGAGCTTTTATAGGCAAATACAAACTTTTAATTATCTGAAGCTTTTATTGGAATGCTGGGCAAGCTCTGGGGTGTATGCCCCATCATACCCACCAAAAGGCTTGCAGTTTGAAGCCAGGCTAGGATTTAAAATATGCAGTGGTGATATGCATCACCTTTGGCAACACATAGGCGTTGTTTGTGCCTTGTTGGCTGTTCGTAAAGCTTCAAGGAAACGTGTAGCCCTGGGGTTCTGTATTCTTCAGAGTGTAAATCGTTCTGTTGATAACCACCTGGGGCTTCAAGGTGAGAGGTAGGCTGAGAAGTAGGGTAACTGCCATCTTCTGCGACCCTGGCATTGACTGAGTCTTAAAACGTAACTGTTGTAGGAAGGAGCAGCTTCGACCGGAGGTGGAGGGAGCCAGATGGTGAGGTTGGCCTTGCGACATGGTGTCGGGGCTGAGTCCTCACCTAGGCAGGTGTCATCAGGTTTGGCATTGTCACCTGGGTCAGTTGGCAGCCTTCTTGTGTATATTCACCCGAGAATTGGAGAAGGAGAGTTGAGAGAGCAGCAGCACAGCATTTAGCTCTCCAGATCTGCCAGTTAGGCGAGGGGCGACAGAGCCGCATCTCCACTCGCTGCCCTGCGGCAGCTCCTCCTCACAGGAAGAACTGCCACGAAAAGGGCAGTAATTACATTCAGACTTGAAGGGTAATTTTCCTTAATCACCATTTAAATCATGAAAAGGAACTGAGACAGTAATTTTAAATGGTATGTAATCTGAGGAAGAAATATTTATAATCTGTGCACTTAACTCGTTTCTGCTTAAATATATTCGGCACTGAGAGCTTTGTGTCTCCAGTCCTTCAGCAGAGTTGTACAGTTAGAAGAGTCCCTTTGTAAGGAGAAGTTTTCTCAACCAAAGCCTGCTCTGTGCTGGGCACTGTGCTAAGCCCTGGGGAAATCGATGATTCAAACAACAAAAACCCGAAGTGGTGTCTGTCCTGGCGTTTAAAAGTTAGCAGGAGAGAGAGAGATTAATCAGGTGACCTCAAGCAAATGTGAAATTACAGTTGGCATGGCAAGGGCAAGATACACCAAAGTGTGAAAGCTTGGAAAGGAGTTAAGAAAGATCTCCCTGAGGGGCAAGTGTTTGACATCTGAAGGATGAGCAGGCTTAAGTAGATCCATAGGGTAGAGGGAGAAGAGCTTTCCAGGGCCCTGAAACAGCAGAAGGCCCTGTGCGGGGAGGCAGTGGTGCTTTAGAAGGAAGAAAAGCAATTCAGCATGGCTGCAGGGCAGAGGGCAGGGAGGGACCCTGTGCGCCAGATTGTGGGATTGTCTACTGACCTCTGCTACCCAGTCTGTAGCCACTAGTCACGTGAAATGGGATATGCTCTTAAGTGTAAAATACACACTGGATTTCAAAGACTTAGAAAAAAATGTAAAATTCATTCATTTTTTATATTGGTTATGTGTTGAAATAATAGTTTTGATATATTGGGTGAAGTAACTATATTAAAATTAATTTCACCTGTCTTGTTTTAATGTGGCTACTAGAAAAATTTTAATTACATATGTGGCTTACATAACATTTTAATTGGACAGTACTGGTATGGATGAAAGGCCTTTATTCTAGAACAATCCCAAGCCATTAGACAGTGTTCAGGAGGAGGCTGTCATAATCAGACTTGCATTTTGAGGGGGAGGGACCAGAAACCTCATTGTCCTCACAAGAATCCTGTGGGGTGTAGACATTATTCCCATTTTCAGACAAGAAAATTGGTGCTGAAAGGTGAAGTAACTTGTTGGAGTTTGCTCCATTAGGAAATGGCAGCACCTGGATGTGACCTACTAATTAAGTGGGGCCCAGTGCAAAATGGCTACCCAGGGAATTGCACCCTCCGCACCTGAACACTCTGGTATCTGGATGGGGGTGGCCGAGGGACCCTAGCCCTTGTCTCTTCCCTGCTCAGTGGACCTCAGAGCAAGCCCTGCCTTGCCCGCCTGTTGCTTGAGTCGCTGCCAGGGGCCGAAGGTGACGCAGACTGAGGGAGTGGTAGAGGTTAGAGCACGATGGGCTGGGAGTGGGACCGCACATTCGAGCCACAGCTCCCAGTCCCCAGTCCCCCGGCACATGCTCCATTGTCCCGTCTGATTTCACTTACAGAACAAACTTAAAATTTTCCAGCCAGCGACCAGAGAGCACTTAATCCCAAGTGTGAGGCCTTCGTGTAGGGCCCTGCACAACTGCTGTGATCTCAGGCCCGTGAAGCCAGTCCTGCTTAGGGCTTAAACCATGCTTTTTCCACACTGCTAAATGCTCCCCCAGAAATGAGATGCTCTCGCTCAGCGCAGCCCTCTCCCAGGACAGAAACAATGTCCCTACCCCTGGGGCAGGGATCTGCAGTCTAGTCCGTGCCCTTCCACTCTGGGCCGTGGAGGGAGCTCTGCCCTGGGCTGGGAGACAACCTTGCAGCAACTGAGCCTCAGCCCCCCAGATACCTGAACTGGAATGATGCCCTCCGCACCCCTTCACTACTCACCCCACACAAAGCATGAGATGGCCCCCAGCTTGGCCTGCCACGTGTAAAAGCATTTAATTCTCTGATGAATCTGTCGGGTTATGATGCCCTGTGGATGGACGGCGCCTCTTAGAGGTCAGAAGGCATGCCCTTGGAAGTCGGGCAGATTTGGATCTGTTTTTCCTATGCTATTCAGTAGCAGTGACACCTTAGATAAGTTACTTAATCTCTCTGAGCCTGTTTTCTGATCTGGAAAATGGGATTAATAATCTCCAACTCACAGGTTGTAAGAAGGAAATGAGAAAGTGAACAGAAGGTACAACCCCTCCAGGCACGTAGTGAGCACCAGTATTTGCTGGCTGCTATTATTAATTTATAGCTATTGATACTTGCCTCCCCCTGAAAGGACCCTTGGTCTACTTGCTCTGCTCTTGACTACACCCCTGGCAGAGTGGGGGAGGGCACCCTGCTCCTGCCTTCCTCAGGCCCCTCCCCTATCCTTGAGGACCATGTTGGAAACAGGAATTAAAGACTCACCTGCAGGCTTCTCCCTCATGTCCTGTTGGGGTTCAGCCATGGGTCAGCTCTGTGGTCTGTCAGATCAGCAGCCCCTCTAGCATTTATGCTGAGCTCCCAATCAAATAAAAAGCATGTCCTAAAGCCTTAGCGCATCTACCTGCAGTGAAACCATAATATGTTCTTGTCATTGGCGGGTGAGATAGGGCAGGGTCGACCTATTTTACAGATGGGCAAACGAAGGCTCAGGTGCGTTGTGTGATTTAATTTGCACAGGATGCTGCAAGTGAAGGAAGGGACTGAAATTCAAGGGTCTCTCTTCTCACCTCGGGCTGTGTCTATGGGGAAGCAGTGCAGGCTAACCTACCCAACCCCTGGGAGGGGAGGCCTTTGCTGGCACAGCCCTCCTTGGAAAAGGTTAGCAGATACTACCTCAAGGGATAAGAAAAGCCAAACAGTATCTCGGATTGAACAGACTGCCCCTCCTCCCCAGTTCTCACTCCCCTTTCTCCCAGCCCCTTCCTCAGCATCTGTGAGTGACAAGAAAGCAGGAACACCCGGGCCTGTACCTGGGGGGGACTCCGCCTTGGCAAGGATCCCGAATCCCTGATTCCAAATATTGAAATGGAGGAGGCAGGGGCTGGAGCAGGAGGTTCATTGAAGGGTGGATGGGGCTGGGCAAAGTCCTGGGCAGGGCTGCTGTCTCAAAAGGGCTGAAGGTAGGAGCTCACATGTTTGGGGTGGCTCTCCCATATCATTTAACCCTCCAGTGTCAGAGGACAGGGCATCAGGTGGGCCTCAGCATCATAAGGCTAGAGGGAACCTCAGAGATCAGAGCCCATAGGTTCTCAAACTTAGCTGTGCATTGAAATCACCTGCAAAGCCTTAAAAATTGCGGGTGCCTGGGTCCTACCCTCTGACGAGTCCTACTAGTTGGTCTGGGGTGCAATCTGGGCCCTGGAATTTTTAAAAGGTCTCCAGCTGATTTTATTTATTTATTTCTACGTTGGGTCTTCGTTGCTGCGCGGGGGCTACTCTTCGTTGAGGCTCTAGGTGCGGGGGCTTCGCGGTTGTGGCGCACGGGCTTAGTTGCTCCGTGGCATAGGGGATCTTCCCAGACCAGGGCTCAAACCCGTGTCCCCTGCATTGGCAGGCAGATTCTTAACCACTGCTCCACCAGGGAAGTCCTCCGCAGCTGATTTTAATGTGTGGCCAAAGTTGAGAATCACTGATTTGACCAGACTTCTTAAGGTGCAAATGGGGAAACGGAGGCCCAAGGCAGGGAAGTGCTCCCTGATAGTCACAGGGGCAGCCGGGCACAGGCCCGGGGCTAGATGTGGGCCACCTGGTTGCCAGCCTGACGCAGCCTCCCCAGCATGCCTGGTGCCCATCTGCCAAGAATGCAGGAGACCCCACCCCCGCCCAGGCAGAGAGGAGGAAGCAGCACGGATCTGCCTGGCCTGACCTCCTAAGGGAGGGAAAGAAAATGCACTTTGGCCAGCCCAGCTGCTAGGGTGTGTCAGCCATAAACAGAGCCCACTTGCACCCCTCACCTGGGTGGATGGGGCCACGAGGGCAGAGATGAAAGTGCCTGTGCTTTGAGAGGGAGCCTCTTCCGTCCCCACGTCACTAGCCTGCTCTGTCCATTCACTCGCCCACTCCCCATTCACTGGTTCACTTATGCACGTGTTCTCTCCACAAACCTCACTTTTTCTTGTTTTGGGGGACCCTCTCTTTTCTTTAATTTTTTTTTTTAATTTATCTTTTGGCCGTGCCGTGCAGCTTGCAGGATCTCAGTTCCCCGACCAGGGATTGAACCCGGGCCATGGCAGTGAAAGCCCGGAATCCTAACCATTAGGCCACCAGGGAATTCCTCTATTTTTAAATTCTTTAAATAAAAGTATTACATGCTCTAGTGTAAAAAGTCTAATGTTAAAAATCAGGAGGACCCAGGGCTTCCCTGGTGGCGCAGTGGTTGAGAGCCCGCCTGCCGATGCAGGGGACACGGGTTCGTGCCCCGGTCCGGGAAGATCCCACATGCCGCGGAGCGGCTGGGCCCGTGAGCCATGGCCGTTGAGCCTGCGCGTCCGGAGCCTGTGCTCGGCAACGGGAGAGGCCACAACAGTGAGAGGCCCGCGTACAGCAAAAAAAAAAAATCAGGACCCATTAACAAGCAAGAGCAAAATGCTTGTTGGGAGGCAGCCACATAGGCCTGGGTGTGGGTGTTTTTTCATTCATTATGCTGGGCAATTAGTGGGCCCTTCTGTTTTCATATTAGCTTTTGTGTGGGGGTCAGGGTATAGCTTTTAATTTTGATATAGTTTCAAATTTACGTAAAAGTTGCAAGAACATATGCCCTTTACCAATGGTTAACATTTTGTCACATTTGCTTTAATATTCTCTCTCTCTTCCCTGGTATATATGCGTGCGTATGTGTATATAACACACACACACACACACACACACACACATTTTTCCCAGGAAGTTTGAGAGTAAGTTGTAGACATGCTCCTTTATCACTAAAGATTTCAGGCTGTATTTCCTAATACCAAGGGTATTCTCTTATATATCCAAGATACAAGGATCAAGATCAGGAAATCTAACGTTGATATACTGCCTTTAGCTAAACCACAGTCCATAATCAAATTTTATCAATTAACCCAACAATATCCTCTTTAGCTTTTTTTCCCTAGCCCAGGACCCCATTCAGGATTATGCATTGTACTTAATTTCCATGTCTCATAAATTTCTTTAACCCAGAAAAGTTCCTCAGCCTTTCTTTGTTTTTCATGACATTGACATTTTTGAAAAGTCCAAGCAAGTAATTTTGTTGTTTGTCCCTCACTTGGGTTTGTCCAGTGTTTCACTGTGATTAGGATCAAATTATGTGCTTTGGCAGGAATAGCACGGAACTGCTTGTCTTTCCTAGTGCATTATAATGGGAGGCACATCTTGGTTTGTTCCATCTTAGGGAATGGTGACTTTAATCACTTGTGAAAGGAGGTATCCGCCAGGTTTTTCCATTGTAAAGTGTATCCTTTTCACTTTGTAATTAATATGTAACTTATGGGGAGATATTGTGAAACCGTACAGGTATCCTTTGTTTAAAAATTTATTTTATTTATTTATTTTTGGCTGTGTTGGGTCTTCGCTGCTGCGCGCGGGCTTTCTCTAGTTGCGGTGAGTGGCGGCTACTCTTAGTCGTGGTGCGCGGGCTTCTCATTGCAGTGGCTTCTCATTGCAGAGCATGGGCTCTAGGCACGTGGGCTTCAGTAGTTGCGGCACTTGGGCTCAGTAGTTGTGGCACACGGGCTTAGTTGCTCCGTGACATGTGGGATCTTCCCGGACCAGGGATCGAAGCCATGTTCCCTGCACTGGCAAGCAGATTCTCAAACACTGCGCCACCAGGGAAGCCCCAGATATCCTATTTCTTTTTCAAATCTTCACTCTTTAGTTTCCAGAATCCACTGAAGATTTTGACTTGAATCGATTGTTACTGTGATGATTGCAAAATGGTGATGCTCTGGTTCCATTATTCTTTCTACATTAATTTGGTATCCTATTGTAAGAAAGCGCTTTCCTTCTCATTCGTTCATTATTTTTTTAAATAAATTTATCTATTATATATATTTATTTATTTATTTTGTTTACTTTTTGGCTGCGTTGGGTCTTCGTTACTGCACGTGGGCTTTCTCTGTTTCCGGCGAGCGGGGGCTGCTCTTTGACGCGGTGCACGGGCTTCTCGTTGCAGTGGCTTCTCTTGTTGCGGAGCACAGGCTCTAGGCATGTGGGCTCAGTTGTTGTGGCAGGTGTGCTCAGTAGTTGTGGTACACGGGCTTAGTTGCTCTGCAGCATGTGGGATCTTCCCAGACCAGGGATTGAAGCCGTGTCCCCTGCGTTGGCAGGTGGATTCTTAACCACTGTGCCACCAGGGAAGTCCCTCATTCATTCATTATTATCAGTGTGGACTCATGGATTCTTGTTTTATTCAATGAGTTATAATCCATTATTACCATTATTTATTTTGATGCTCAGATTATCCCAATTATGTACAGTATCTGCTTACAGCTGTTTCCCATATCCTGTAATCCTTTCACATACCCATCATTTTATGAGCACTTTCTTACTTCCTGGTACATCAAGATGTCCTGTGTTCAACTTGTACTTTCCCTGCCCCAGCCCTGGATTCTGTCATTTCTCCAAGGAGCCACATTTCCTTTCAGTGGGGAATCGGTGTACTCATTCCTATGCGGATGCCAAGAAGAATGCTTCTAGACCCTTTTAGTGGACAGAACTAGGAACACACATACACACATTTGTCTGTACATATTTCTGTGTATATATATTTAAGACCACAAGTTCATACTGATACTTCCAATTCCATTTCAAAACCAAAGGGTTCTCCCTAGCTTTCTCCAGTTCCATTTTATAGCCCTCTTCTCCAACAGTGGGAAATCTGGCTTTCCTAACATCTTTAATATATTTACTCATTTGCTCAATCTGACAGTTACACAGACCAAGTAGTTCCAGAATTGCTTACTTGAAATACAGTTGGGCTGATTGTTTGTGGTTGCATTTTAGGGTTCTTCCCAATCCTTACTGATATTTTTTTGAGTATATAAAACATTATCATGATTCTGAGAGTCAAAACTATACAAAAATTTATGTTTAGAGATGAGTCACTCGACATTTCCATGCCTTCTATCCCCTGCAGGAAAATATCTCCTCAATTTCTGGCTTATCCTTCCTGTGTTTCTTTTTGAAAAATCAATCAGGTAACTGTGTGTTTCCTTATTATTCCTTTCTTACAGAAAAGGTGGTGTAAACATTCTTTTCTGCTGTGCTTTTTTGTTTTTCACTGAACGGTGTACCTGGAGATACTAGTAAGTTTCCCTCCATGAATGTTTAACCATTTTGCACTCCCACCAGCCACACATGGGAGCACTCGTTTCCCCACAGCCTCACCAGCAGTGTTGTCAAGTTTTGTAACTTTTCCAATTTGATAGTAAGAGATGAAATGTTAAAATCTAGGTTTTATTATCATTGAGGTATGGTGAGGCC